GGAGTAAATTATCAGGTAAAGGTTTCAAACTATTTTTATTAATTTCCTTGATATCAATTTTGGAAGAGCGAGTTCACAAAACAATAATTCTTTTTAATTTGAATATTTGCCTGCTTGTTGTTAATTGGTTGTGGGATAATCAATTCGTTTGCTAATAATAATTCATTATAAAGGAACATGTGACCGAATATGGAGTGCACTGGAATTTTTTCTTTACGTTAGGATTTCTGCCGATTTTCGTTACACTTTGTCGTACTCTGCAAAAATATATTAGATTCTCGTTGGTTGGATTTGGAATCGGATTAAGTTCGTATATAGATAAAATCACACTTAGTTTTTGTTTGCTACAATAAAAATATTAATTGAATAAGAATAGTATATCAATATCTTTTATCTAGATATGGACTTCAAAATTATATTCAATACGCGTCGCGCACAAATTTAATTAGCGCGAATAAAGAAGGCATATGTAGTTTCTTTGGTAAGTTTAAACTATATTCCATATAGATAAAGAATTAGCGCGCTACTAAGAGAACCTAATGGAAACTTTTCACCAAAACATCAGGTTATCTTGCTATCTTTCTGATCGCTCTCGACACTGGTCACTACGTACTGCCCGCAGATCCCTACTATGCATTCCGCGAAAACCGACAGAACAAAAAACCGAAACCGGGGAAACTTGCTCTGATCTTATTCTCGTGGTCTTGCGTTTGGTGGCTAGCGTTCCTGATGACGATGGCACTGCGAATACAAGTATCACGCCAGATGGCAAATTTATCGTATATCCTCTGGGTGACTGCCTTCAACACAACATTTTTGTTGCTTTTTCAATTGGTCGAATTGTATTTCTTTCCGAATTATTGGAAAACGGGGGTTAGAACTTTGCCGCAGGTGATGGAGGCTGTTAATGCAAATGGACTGGCGGTGTTTTTGCTGGTATGTCCCTTTTTTTAACTAATCCATAAATCTATGAACATTAGATTTTATTTTTCAATCCTCATTTAATTTTTTTCCACTTTAGGCAAATGTTTTAACTGGATTAGTTAATATTTGTTTTAGAACAATTTACGCATCGGATTTTGTGGCGGAATTAATTCTTTCTGTTTATCTTTTTGTTATTTTATTGGTTGCTATTTTTTGGCGGCAGAAAGGATGGCGCATCAAATTATGATTTAGAATTGTATGCTTTTAGATGTGTTTAGATTTTTTAGATTTAGAATTTGGACATAATGATAACGACAACCTTCTTCAAACTAAAAAGAGATCAAGAGCATGGACAATGCCTAAATTAAATTATTCGTCAATGCAATATGCGTCGACGCTGTCGTGTAATCAGCGAAATTTTAATAAAAATTATCTAATTCGTCTCGACTTGCTTGTCTTGCAATTCCTAAAATTTATCGACGACAATGTCCACTACTATCGATTACGGAAAGATTAAACAATTCGCTGCGCGTTATCCTAAACCTAATGGCGTGTCTTTTTCTTATGGAACAGCCGGTTTTCGCACAAAGTACGTGTTTTCTCTAGTAGGGCGTTATTTTACACGTACTTTGTCGCAAATCTGTTCACTCATTTTTCATCATATTAGGGCGGAACTCTTGGACTCGGTAATCTTTCGTGTTGGCATCTTGGGTGCGCTCCGTTCAAAGAAACTTGATTCAAAAACTATCGGTGTCATGATAACTGCATCACATAATCCGGAAGAAGTAAAAATATCACAATTTTTGATCACAAATATTTAATGTAGCAACTAAATCTAAGATATGTTTTAAAAAAATAAAGGATAATGGTGTCAAGCTTGTGGATCCATACGGTGAAATGCTCGAACAAAAATGGGAGATATACGCAACTCAATTGGCAAATGCACATAATGCCGATGTGTTAGTAAATGTTATTAAAGATATCGTAACCGTAAATGATATCGATCCTACGAAAGAGTCCACGGTGGTATATGCTCGCGATACAAGGTATTTGCAAAAAATATCATGTAATTCTCTTTAAAATTTTTATCAAATTTTTCTTTGACACGTAATGTTTCATCTACAACAACGAATATTAATAAGACCAAGCGGCGTAAGACTGGTAGAAGCTCTTGAACATGGATTGAAGGCAGTTAACGCCAATCTAGTGAACTTTGGAATAAAAACTACACCTCAACTTCATTATGTCACTCGATGTTACAATACTCTAGGTACCGAGGCTTCATATGGTGAACCAACAGAGGAAGGCTATTACAAAAAACTTGCGATCGCTTACCGTAAGATTGTGGTAAGCACTGAAATTGAGACAGTTTAGCAAGGAATTGTTGGTTTCAAATAATCACAATTTTGTCTCTATATCAGGAAGGTTTGCCGCGACTTCCTAAAATTAAAGTAGATGCAGCGAACGGTGTAGGTGCACCGAAACTTAGGGAACTCGCGAAATTTATTGATGAGGATATTTTAGATGTCGAAGTTATCAATGATGATATTGATACGAGGGGAAAATTGAATTTTCAGGTAAGAATAATTGCTAGATTTGATATGCTGTTATTCTAAAGAGATTAAATCGTGTATTCTTTCTTAATTATGGCAATTAGTGCGGCGCAGACTTTGTAAAAACTCAACAAAGGGTTCCACTTGGCTTAGTTTTACCAGCTGAACAGCGAGCTGCTTCGCTAGATGGTGACGCTGATCGAATAGTTTACTACTATAACGACTCGGACGGTACATTTAAACTTCTGGATGGTGACAAGATCGCCAGTTTAGCTGCTGGTTTTATCATGGAATTGATAAAGGCATCAGGTCTCGAAGAGATCAATGTCGGTGTTGTTCAAACTGCATATGCTAACGGAAGCTCTACAAATTATCTCACAAAAGTTTTGGTAAGTTAATGTTTAACATAAATAGAATTTTGAATAATTTCTTTTTGTTATTAATATAAATAAATACATTCGAAATCATAATGCAGGGGGTTCCCGTATCTTGCGTTTCTACAGGGGTAAAGCATCTTCATCATGAAGCTGAAAAGTATGACGTTGGTGTATATTTTGAAGCTAACGGTCATGGGACTGTTTTATTTAGTCCAAGTTCACAAGCCAGAATTCGTAAAGCAGAAGGGTAAAGAAATTATGACTTTATGAAATTTGTTTGCCAATGATTGGACACCTAAATTTCCCATTCTTCCAATATAGAAAAACGCCAGAAAATATTAGTGCATTAGAGAAATTACGTGCTCTGATCGATCTAATTAATCAAACCGTCGGTGATGCGCTTTCCGACTTGTTACTCGTTGAAGCAATTCTCACGTATCGACGATGGACGCCTAAACAATGGGATCAAGCATACACCGATCTGCCAAATCGTTTGGTAAAAGTTGTGGTAAGTACGCAGAACGCAAATTTTAACTTAATCGTTACCGTTACTTTTAAGAAAGCATATGGAAATTATTTCAACTCTTGTGTAAATTAAAGGTTTCAAATCGGCACATTTTTAAAACCACCGATGCCGAAAGAAAACTACTTGAGCCCAAAGGATTGCAAGAAAAGATTGACCTATTGGTGCAACAATACAAAGACGGACGATCTTTTGTGCGGTAAGTTTCCTAATTAAATGTCATCATGTGTTGATCATCTTTATAATCCACGTTTTTTTCATTTATTATAAAAAAAGTCCATCTGGTACCGAAGATGTCGTGAGAGTATATGCAGAAGCAGCCACTCGCCATGGATGTGACGAGCTTGCATTCAAAGTTGCTGGACTTGTGTATGACGAAGCAGGTGGAATCGGCGGACGACCAACAGAATTTTTGTAAAACAGGAAACAAACAATGGATACGCTAGAATTTATTTAAATAGTTGTTAAACAAAAAAGATGTAAGCGGAAAATTAACTTAATTACTCATTTTGGAAAATTTTGGTTAAATTAAAAGATGCATTATTAGACATAATCTCTTGGCTTTTTGCAAATATGCTCAATTCCCACATGCATTGTATCACGTCACAAACCCCAGAACGTATGAATTTCGCATGATAATAACCGCTATAAAACGAGGTAATGTAGGGTGAACTTCCCACCATGGTCTGACAGATTTTTTACACATATTGATGCCATGATGATTGCAGAATGCATAAATCTTTTCCTATTGTGGTAAGACGGAGAAATAAATTTTCTACCATCTAAATGCAAATTTTTAGGTTTTCGTTTTTTCCCTTTCGTATAAAATAAAGTGGGGGTCGAATTTTTTACAATTTTGACACATTCTATCACTTTCCGTGTTTTGTGTAGTTTTTTTCGTGACATTGTTCCCATCTCCGAAATACAAGCTATTATCGAACCATGGATTCTTTGAAACCTCGAACTGATGGTGGTAGTCGTGCACACACCACTTCTGCCTTTGTAAAGTATCTAGATCAATTTTGTTTCCTATCTAGTCAGTTAGCAGCTAGTCAATCAGTCAATCAAATAAATTAGACATGTTTTGAGACCGATCCTTTAACCGCAATTTTTCATTAGCATTTCTGCATTCATCTAAAATTTCTAAAATTCTATATATGATTTGACTTTTCAATAGCGAATCATATGAAATGAGAAAATGATTACACATCAATGATAAAGAATTCTTTGATATATTAATGCTATTAAATCAAAATATACTCATTATTCGCATCTTGGCCAAATACTTTACATCTAGGACTTTCAAAGCTCCAGTTTAAGTGTCGCTGCAAAGACCATGCAGAGAGAGTTAAAGAAACTTGTGAATCAAACTGATGCTCAGCACCGACGTGTAATCAAATTTATCATTCATCAATATTGTGCATTTACGGCTTTTTTTAACCTACTTCTCAGAGATATTTTACTAAAATATATGTGTATTTAGGCTTTTCAAAATGAAATGGACAACTTTTACTACTTGTTCACTCGATATTTGGGTGAGAATAAAGGTGCCAAACTGTAAGCTTTGAGTTTTCCTTCTTGATCTAATAAAAAAATAAACGAGTCGAGATTAATTTGATTTTAATAAATCAGCGACTGGGGCAAAGTAAAGGAGCCAAGTCCAGAACAAATCATTCCATACGATTCGATACCTCAATGTGAAGACCCCGTACATCTCGACAAATTGGCTGTCCTGAAACTGAACGGTGGACTGGGCACAACCATGGGATGTGTTGGTCCAAAAAGTGCTATTGAAGTGAGAAACGGAATGACATTCTTGGATTTAAGTGTTAGGCAGATCGAGGTACCTAAAATACATTAAAAATCAATTTAAATTAACTTATGTCATATTAATAGAATGCTTGCTTGTATTTATTAAAACAATGCCAATCAATCAGTTTCTCAATTCAAAACATAATGTCGACGTACCATTTATACTCATGAATTCATTCAACACTGACGAAGAAACCAAACGTATCATTCAAAAATACGAAGCACATAAAATTAACATCAAGACCTTTAATCAATCCCGATATCCCCGGATCAACAAAGAATCATTGCAACCTGTGCCTCGTTCTCCTGATTCGGACATTAGTCAATGGTAAGTATTCTTTTCAATTGGATGAATGAATGAATTGTTGATATATAAAAAAAAATGATAGAAATTAATGATCAGGTATCCACCGGGTCACGGAGACTTGTTCGATTCATTATATAATTCTGGCTTATTAGACCAACTGATTGCTGAAGGAAAAGAATATCTTTTTGTATCGAACGTGGATAATTTGGGAGCCGTAGTTGATTCAAGAATACTTCAACACATGGTAGAAACGAATGCAGAGTTCATTATGGAAGTAACCGATAAAACAAAGGCCGATATCAAAGGTGGTACTCTGATCAACTATGACGGAATAGTGAGGTTACTTGAAGTGGCACAAGTTCCACCGGAACACATTCAAGACTTCAAATCTATTAAAAAATTCAGAATTTTCAACACAAACAATCTATGGATGAATTTAAAAGCGATCAAACGTGTGATCGAAGATCGAGAACTCGCACTCGAAGTTATCGTCAACGAGAAAAGAATGGAATCTGGTGAAGTAGTAATTCAATTAGAAACTGCTGTTGGTGCCGCCATCAAACATTTCAAGAATGCACACGGTGTCAATGTTTCAAGAAATCGTTTCTTACCTGTAAAGTCCACTTCTGATCTTTTCCTTGTCACGTCGGATTTATATTCGTTGAATCATGGTGAACTGGTGATGAATCCTAAACGTTTGTTCCAAACGGTTCCGTTGGTGAAATTGGGAGACGAATTTAAAAAGGTTAGTTTTTCCTTTTCATTTTACTTTACATTGTATCGAGCATTGATCAGAGTAAGAAAGTAATGTGTTGTACATGTGACCTATTCAATACTACTTCGCCAATCATTCAGGTCGCCAATTTTTTATCACGATTTCAATCCATTCCGCATATTCTCGAGCTCGATCATTTGACGGTCACTGGAGATGTTACCTTTGGTGCTCATGTCCAGTTAAAAGGCACGGTTATCATCGTGGCAAATCACGGTGCCAGAATCGATATTCCACCCGGTTCCATTTTGGAGAATAAAGTATTATCAGGGAATTTACGTTTACTTGATCATTGAAAAAAATTGGGCCGATTTTTGCTTTATTTATTTAATATTTATTTTCACCAATGACTGGTTAATTGAATTTAATTTGAGCAGTTTCTTTTAAGTTAATTAATGTAAAACACTTTTAATATAAAATTTGAAATAAGACTAGTCAGTTATCATACTTCGGATCCATCCTTAGTAATGGCGAGTCTAGTAACAGTAATCACATTTCTAACTTCTGTCATTAATGGCAATATCCATCATCATTCTGCTACACTACGCTAATAACAATTCACCAATCCAGCATCCTGCGGTTCAAATACTCGTCATAGAATTTAATGTAGTACGCTGTGAATATCTTTATTCATTGTCTAGGGAAAATATTTTTCACATTATCCGAATTCAAAAGTGGTCTTTGAAATTTACTAAGTACGAGCAATATTCATAACATGAAGATGATTAACTTGATGTAACCCTTCAATGACCATTAAAAATGGCAAGGATGCATTAATTATTTTTGTTACGTTTTCCCTGTATTTTTACTCTTTTAGAATCAACTTTTGAGGCATCCAGAAACATTCGATATAAAATCGCAAAGATCCCTTCGTTAAATGACGGACCACCAGTATTTCCCGAGAAATATAAAAGGCTTTCTATAGGGTCTTATTTAAAAGTTCTAAATAAAGATAAGACTATACAGGATGTGTTCATAATTTGATAATAATGTATATCGATATTATCGATATTGATGTGATACGTATCCAATCAAATTATCCAACAATCGATTTTCCATTGCGTCAGTAAAATTAGTAAAAAGACAAGTGCAAATGAGCGTTCTTCGTCGATTTAAAGCCACCGATTTGCTTCGTTTGAATAACATGTATGTAATAACAATATATTATAACGTTTCTAATTCTTAAAAAAAAAAGAATTGAGAAATTGCGGGAAAAATTGATATTTAATTTGTTTTAATACTACTTATACTTTTATTTTTATTTTTGATTTCGCCTATCAACGCCATATTTTTGATTAATCAAATCCGCTAAAATTGACAATTAAAAAACCAAGCAACCTCGATTTTCTCACAGAGACGGTAAAGTTGAGAAAAAGAATAAAATCATTTGTCAAATATATCTAGATCCCTAAAATCAAGCAAAAAAAAATAAAATAGTACGGCATCACATTTTACCTATCATATCTCGCAAGATGGCCTGAGCTTTTCTGCGTGCAAGAATCACCGAATGGCAAATTAATGGGTTATGGTATGATGTTTCTTAATAGTCGTAACGTCAGTCTCGTTCTTTTATTCATATTGAACGCGTTGATATAGTCATGGGAAAAGCTGAAGGACGAGGTAAAGAATGGCATGGACACGTGACAGCTATCACAGTTGCTCCCGCGTATCGACGAATAGGTCTTGCGGAAAGAATGATGCAGTTATTAGAAACCGTTTCAGATAAGACGCAAGTGAAATTCATTTACTCTCTTCAATAAGAAAAATCCATAACCTGACTTTGGTTATCAATAATTTCTTTGCAGATACAAGGGATACTTTGTTGATCTGTTTGTACGCGTTTCTAATTCGGTAGCAATAAAAATGTACAAAAAATTTGGATATACGGTTTATCGACGTGTTTTGGGATATTATTATTCGTCAGGCGATAATGAGGAAGATGCGTTTGGTGAATAATATATTTAAAATATTATTGTTAATAGTAAAATCATATTAATTGCACATTTTTTATAGATATGCGAAAACCATTATCACGAGATGTTGAGCGGCAGAGTATCGTGTCAAATGGTGAAAGCAGAAAAGTGAGACCGGAGGACCTGTAAAGTTTCACATAGCAAGAAAAAAAGGATGATGGTAGCCACGTTATTTTATTTTATTATATATATATTGAAAATCAAAGGGAGATTAATCATCAAAAATTAAAGCCAAATATTATGTTTTCGAATAACATTAAATTTTCATATTCATAAATATATATATATATTTTAACATATCAAGTGAAATACGGATTCGACGATTTTAATCGGAATTATTGATGCTCGCGCATCGAGGATTATAAAGGCGATTGGGATGAATATGCTCTTAATTTATTAGTACAAAAAAAGTCTCGAGGCAAAGGCTGATGCATTTTCTAAGTGTTACCATCAACTTTCATTGATTTTTATGATTGTATTCCGTTCATTGTGTTATTCAGGAAACTCAGTTTGAAATACAAATGTTCTTCGACCAGCTTTCATCTTGCTAATCAGCACATCTTTATCGAAACCCCATGGTCCACATCCTATCGCCACCAAAACCCTTAACGATCTTAAATCTAAATCGAAGAAAAAATTATAAAAATCTTTTCCCGAAAAAAAGGTGATAAAACAAAATACCATACCTCTTGTCCAATTCACACGATCCAACAATACTTGCCCAAGGACCCAATCACAAAAAGACAAATCCAAAAACAAAAGATTAATGAGCCCTCTTGACAGAATACTTAATGCAAGAGGCCCATTATCACTTAATGAAGTGAAATTATTGAAACATCCAGCGATTGACAAATGTGTTAAGAGTGGTAATGTTGTGACAAGTAATGTGCTCACTTGTGCTGAGTCTATGTTTGGAATGAAAGATAAATTCAGACGACGCAGATTTTGTAGAGTGCATATATACTTTGTGGTTGAGGTTGATAGTAGGGGCGGTGATTGATGGATTACGAGTACTTCTGAAGATGATGACAAAATGTTAATATCAATAACGCTGATGCTCTTTTCGGTTATGTTCAATTAAATTATAGAAATACCATCATCCTCCAAAATTTTGTTATTTGCATTAGAATCATTATTAGATTTATCATCATTATCATCATCAATAAGTCTTTCCCAATTATCTGCAACAATTTGCTCTTCATCTGCCTCTCCTTTATAGTTACTCCTATTTCTCTTTTTAGGAACTTTCCAGAACGCTTCTTTTAAGCGCTCAAACGATATCGTACTATTCGCGAGATCCAGCTCTTCATATTCCAGATCCTGAGCAAATAATGATAGCAACTGATCATCCAAAGGATGATGCAAAGTTGCCAAGGAGAGTATCTTTTGTTTAAGATGAGTTGGTATTTTGGAAAAGTATGAATGCGATTTATAACTAATGATATTGAGTGTGACAATTTCTGCACAGATGTCAGCGAGTGATGGTTCTCCACTTTTGTTTAAGGGACCTAACCATGATATTATAGAATATTAATATGTATATTTTTTATCATGGGTGTAAATACTGATAATTTGTTTCTTCAACTCGAGATAGAAAATAATAATTGCCGCGGCTGAAGCTGATGCTGAAATTCATGTGATCTTTAACTATATAACTTTATATGTAACCCTAATCCTAATCTTAAAGAGCATTAACCAGGTGTACAGATATTTTCGGTGTAGTTATTTAATAAAATTAATGTGATTAGTATTATCATCGATCATATAATATAAATTTCAGCATCAGCTATCACAATAATTATAGCAATGAGTGGAAGAATAGAGCCAAGTCTCACCATCCCATACTTGTTTTTTCCTTTCCCGTTCTTTATGTTCAAATTCCTGCTTACCCGCTCGATTTTTATGCCAAACATATTGCCAACTTTTTGGCGGCGCAGGACCAAAAGAAACTCGATCCCTATTAGCAAAAGCCAAGAATTAGTAATCAAAAGATTTCATTAAAATCGGAAAAGAGCCATGAAAACAAGATTATAAGCTAAGAATGGCAAGATAATTACCGGATCACAGCATCAGTGTTATTATCTTGTTCACGTTGTGGTAAAAAAGCATGATCGCCCAATTCATGTTCGATATAGGCAGGAAGTTGAGCGTTTGCAAAAGACGCGTCTCTATTATTATTGTTGTTGTTATTGTTGTTGTTATTTGTCCTAGCAGATCGAGAACTTTCTCGTCGAGATTGTTCTATCAAGGCAGAAACAGATATTTCGTTAGATCTCGAGGAGCAGGAATCACTGCTATTAATTTTTGATGAAGCTACGGAATTAAAAGAGTTTTTTGTGTTGTCGGTTAAGGATCTATATAGTTGTTTGGCTTTTTTTGACCCACTCTTGACCATATCAAAAGAACACGAACATGAAGCGAATGCCAAGCATGATCAATTATATGATTTTGCGTTATTTGTGTGACTAAAAATGTTTGTAATACCAAGCATATATACATATATATTTTTATCTAATCGAATCGAAGCATTTCAAGATAAAATCGCAGCACGCCAAGGTCTAGACAATTACGTAGTTGGCATTGGTTAATTTGTATAAAATGAGTTTGTTGCTGCTGTTAAAAAAGAAGTGTTAAAAAAAAATAGTTCTTCACGTAATATCGATCAGAGATGAGCGCTGGAACTACCAATAGCGGAGCTACGGAATTACCAGAAACAACTCCCGCATTAATTGGACAATTGCTGCAACATAGAAAATTTATTGTAATTTTTTTTCTTTTGTAATTTCGTAATTTTCCAAAAAAAAAAAGTAATATTTCTTATCAACATACAAAAAGGTTAACGAAAACGCTCAAGTCACTCGGTTTGACAGTGAAATAATTTCCCCCAGTTCAACTGTTTTCATAAGAAATTGCAATAACTCGGAATACATTCTCGATGGCGTCTGCACCAAAGTTATGATCGGTTAGTATCTCCTAATAAAACAATTTGACAGCATTAATTGACATATGCCAAATAAATAAATAAATTTTCTTAATCTGGAATATGTGATGGTAAACAAATAAATTTACGATAGAGAACTGCAATAATCTTATCTTGAAGGCTAACAAAAAAATCATTACGTCAACAATTGAAATATGGAAATCACAGAATATCACGCTCAAGGTTTGATTTGAACTTTGTTACAATACGCCCATTTAAAGGAATGCTAAATTTCTTATATGTATAGATTAATTCTCAAGTTCAAACACTTCAATTAGATGAATGTCATAAAGTAAGTGTTGAATATGATTCCGTGGAACATTTTCATTCTATCGTTTGGACCGGGACTAAAGAATTAGAACTGACGATCTTAGAAGGTGGAGAAGGTAATGTATGCGTATGTATGCGATAAATAAAAATAAATTGTGTAACATTATTTAAATTCCTTCAAATTCCAGTAAAACACGAAATTAAAACAACACAGGAATCAGATAACCCAGCTCAATCTATCATTAGATTGATTAATGGAAAATTCGCTGATGAACGGTTAATTCGTGCCGAGAAAGGATACCCGATAACCGAGCGGGAATTGCAAGAATGGAAGGAAAAAAATAATATTGCTTAGTCAATCTTTTAAGCTTCCTCTTTTTTTTTTATTGGTATCTCTCGTTAATTTGTATCGTCTTTGTCAATTCCATTCGGATAATTACCCATTTCTTGATAAGTGATAAAACATAATAAAAAACCTTAACACGAATCTATAATAAAGAAACCATCATGCTACAAGCCCTCATTTATTATTATCGGGCACGGATAAATGTCAACATTTAAAGTTCATCTTACCAAAACAATCGATTCATTCACACACGTACACAGCAATAACTCGTTTTGTTCCATTATGATTATCCATAGAAAATTGTTTTTGTACCTTATTATCACACAATACTGGACGATACTGCACATGATAGTGTTTTTGTGTTATCTCTTAACCTTTTAATTTTTTTAAGAAGTTACACATTCAATATTGTCGTCGTCGTGGACGTTGATCCAACTATTCATCGTGTTTTTTAGAGACTATATATGATAAGAGGTAAAAATCGTAATCCTCGTGTACATGTTTATTTTTAATTTATTCATAAGCTCTTCTTCAATGATATATATATATATATATATATATCATTGTGTTTATTAACTCATTTCTTTATTAAAAATTAAAACAACGGTGATGTTTATTTTTCTGAAACTGTGTTCTTTTAAATTCTGATTCATCGTCGGCGAATATTATTTCATTTTATTGTTGCAAATCATAATTTAAAGATATTGATGAAATCAGCAGTTCGATTACGAAATTCCATTGTTTTTGTTTATTTATAGCATTATCGTTATGGTAATATCGATATTTCTAGTAAAATCTAGTCGCCAAATCATATCGATTTTTCAGGCGAGTACCGAATATTGTGTGATGCTTGTCTTTTGACTTTTTTATTCTCATACTACCAAAAGGAAAGATTCGCGTTTAGAGAATTTTCCGATCGAAATCGGGAGAAAAAGGTATATAAGGTAAATCTGATTTTGATTTTCCGTTCAAAAATAAACTGATGATTACAATGGATAAGAAAAAAAAAGCCCCCATAAATGATTGATAAACTAAACTAAATTTAAATTAATTCTACACTAAAAATAAAGAAATCTTTCTAATAATAGTAATAAAAAAATAAATTGAATGAACAGATTTTATCATCATACATGGTCTTATCCTTTTTAAGTTAGGCAATCAAATCATTCAAACAGATGCAGGTTAAGTATCAATCAATGACAAAATAGAAATTCTTAAGTATTTAAGAGAGGTAAATAGAATTATTCTTGATGATAATGTTTATTGGCTAAAAAAAACATGGAGACACGCATATTCGCTTAATTTTGTCACCACTTACATCATCATCATCACCAGTTAGTTTAATAACTGGTATGTTAACGTTAATGAACAATATTTATATTTGATGATTCACCGATATTTTATTATCAACAACAACAACAACAACAACAACTATTATTTATTTTTGTTGTGTGTTTAATAGAACTGCAAACATGCGAAACAGAAAAAAACCTTTTTTGTGTTTATTAAGTATATATCTTTATATATATATATATATATATATAAAATATCTGCAGAAATTGATATTATCATAAGATTTTAAATTGAATGCACACGGTGCATTCATAATGCATGCACTCTTAGTCTTTCTCTCTTGGATGTCGTTACGCCTAATTCATCTCCTGGCGTCTGTTTCATACATGATTGTCACTCACATCATCCCCTCATTTTCACTATTGCGTGTTGCACCTAATTTTTTTTATTTATCTATTATACACTAGTTTTGCATTGCAATTCAAAGAAAATAATGCGAAATGGGCGCAGCACCGATTAAATTATTTATTTCTATTAAGAGTAAAAAGTAAAAAAACCTATCACTAACAACACACACATTTTCGAGTCAAATTTTTACTGTATAGCCAAATAGTATTAGTTTTTTTTTTTTTGCTGTTCGTTCGTTTCTATCTTGTCCATTACAATTAATAATAACTAGATTGGAGGTGTAGTGATAGAAAAGTTTGAACGTATTTTGGCGCGAAGCTATTGAATATAAAATAATCCCGCTAGATTTATATCGTTCCATGCATTGTTAAATAAAGAAGAACGCTATCCATTTATTATTCCAAAAAATGATGAAAATTATAACCATGACATTAACAACAGTGACGACAACACGAAACAGAACACACTCCTCGATACGAGCGATTAAATTAGTAAAAGGACATTTATCATTCCTATTAACATTACTAATATTCTCGAATATAACAACAATAACCATAAATGCTCAAGGGCTCGATAACATACCGTTGCTTGCTGCCCACTCGGCCGCAATGGTTAAAAACAATATGGTGATATTTGGTGGAATTGAGATTTCAAATGGGATTGGAGACATATATAACAATTATAGCGTAGGTGGCACGAACCAACTTTATGTATGGAATGCGGATGCGCATCAGTGGTCTGCTCCGAAAGTACAGGGTTCGATACCTTTAGCGCAAAAATTTGCTCCGGCTGTGACAACCCAAAGTGATAATATAATAATGGTGCAACTGACAAATGCTAATAGTGCAGCAGAGAGTCTTGTCAAACTTGATACATCAGGTTGGACTTGGGTTACAGCACCACCAGCTCCGCCATGTAAGTTGTATAAGTGAATGGGGAAGGGAGGGAAGAGTTTATATCATTTATTTATTATT